CTTCTCTCCAGGTCTGTCCTCTTTTATCTTTGACATCACTTCCTGTGTGCAACAGCGCTGCACAAGTTTTACTCTGAAAGACACAAAACTGGCTTCATGTTCAGCCACAGAGGTCAAAGGTTGGCATGTGCCATCACCAGTGATGGGCAGTAACGCGTTGTAATGAGATTACTTTTTTCAAATAACGAGTAAAGTAAGGGATTACCATTGGAAAAAAGCGAATTAGATTACCGTTACTTTCCTGTAGGAACACTGCGTTGCTAAAACTGTGATTTTATTGCGAGAATGTCTCATGACAGTGACGTAAGCGAGCGCGACGTTGGTGACAACAGCTGTGTGCAGATCAACAGTGGATCACATATCGAGTGCAGAGAGAGTATGAGCGTGCAGCGTTTAAAGCCTGGAAGTACCGACCTTACTTTGAGTTTGAGTCCATAAAAAGTGACAAAAACATTAGTGTCCGCTGTGCGTGGGAAGAAAACTTCTTTTTACAGTAAAACAACCCCTAAACTTCCAACAAGCACCGAGTGCCGGATCCGCCCACTGACATGACGGCTGTGGCACCTCCACCCGCCCCACTCCTGCTAAACAGGTGACAACAGATCTAAGAGCGACTCAGAGCTGCTGAGGCTTTGATTTTATTTCTTTCTGCTGTTTTACTTGCATCTATTTGAAAGAGTGTAAATAAGACTGTTGTATACAGTGTTGGTCAAGTTATCAGTAACTAATTACTGATTACTTCCCTCCAAAAAGTAATCCCGTTACTTTACTGATTACTTATTTTCAAAAGTAATTAATTACTTAGTTACTTTTTAAAAACACGATTTAGATCTTTCAGCCCAGTTCTGCTTTTTCTGCATCATCATACAAAATGGAAAAGTCTCTTTTTAAAACTTGTTTTATTAGTTTTAACCTTTTAACTTGTTATCTTGTTTATCATGACTCTGGTGTTACTGGCCGATCAACACAGTTTATAAACTGGTATATGTCACCTTGTTGCTTTGTCTGTAAGTGGTCATGTGATTGACCACGACTCCTTTATTCTTCCTCAGTCAAACAGCAGCACTCGTGCGATTGTTTTGCCCCCTGAGCTCCAGCTGTTGTGCCAGAAAGTGATGGTTACCGTCCGCGGGAGCGCAGCTGCTTAAAGCTGCAGCGTCCTGATTCTTACAGCTACTTCCTGCAGCTGATATAAGCTGCAGTGAGCTGAACACAGCTTCAGCCGTCTGTTGAAAAACAGTAACAGACCGCATTTCCTTGTTAGTAACGATAACGGTGTTGTAACGATAGGAATAGTAATTAGTTAGATTACTCGTTACTGAAAAAAGTAACGCCGTTAGTAACGCTGTTATTCCCATCACTGGTTATTAATTACTAATTACTTTTTTCAAGTAACTTGACCAACACGGACCATCACTGCCACAGCAACAGCCTTTATTAAAGTCATTAGTTAAAGTTTAGTTATGTGATGAGCTTCTTCTGCCTTTACTCACACGGGTGGAGCAGGGTGGAGGAGG